CAACTAATTTGGCCGTTGTTAGCGAGATGCACATCTGTTGCCCGTTGTTAGCGAGATGCACATCTGTTGCCCGTTGTTAGCGAGATGCACATCTGTTGCCCGTTGTAAGCGAGATGCACATCTGATCGCCGTTGTTAGCGAGATGCACATCTGATCGCCGTTGTTAGCGAGATGCACATCTGATCGCCGTTGTTAGCGAGATGCACATCTGATCGCCGTTGTTAGCGAGATGCACATCTGATCGCCGTTGTTAGCGAGATGCACATCTGTTGCCCGTTGTTAGCGAGATGCACATCTGATCGCCGTTGTTAGCGAGATGCACATCTGATCGCCGTTGTTAGCGAGATGCACATCTGATCGCCGTTGTTAGCGAGATGCACATCTGATCGCCGTTGTTAGCGAGATGCACATCTGTTGCCCGTTGTTAGCGAGATGCACATCTGATCGCCGTTGTTAGCGAGATGCACATCTGATCGCCGTTGTTAGCGAGATGCACATCTGATCGCCGTTGTTAGCGAGATGCACATCTGATCGCCGTTGTTAGCGAGATGCACATCTGATCGCCGTTGTTAGCGAGATGCACATCTGATCGCCGTTGTTAGCGAGATGCACATCTGTTGCCCGTTGTTAGCGAGATGCACATCTGATCGCCGTTGTTAGCGAGATGCACATCTGATCGCCGTTGTTAGCGAGATGCACATCTGATCGCCGTTGTTAGCGAGATGCACATCTGATCGCCGTTGTTAGCGAGATGCACATCTGATCGCCGTTGTTAGCGAGATGCACATCTGATCGCCGTTGTTAGCGAGATGCACATCTGTTGCCCGTTGTTAGCGAGATGCACATCTGATCGCCGTTGTTAGCGAGATGCACATCTGATCGCCGTTGTTAGCGAGATGCACATCTGATCGCCGTTGTTAGCGAGATGCACATCTGATCGCCGTTGTTAGCGAGATGCACATCTGATCGCCGTTGTTAGCGAGATGCACATCTGTTGCCCGTTGTTAGCGAGATGCACATCTGATCGCCGTTGTTAGCGAGATGCACATCTGATCGCCGTTGTTAGCGAGATGCACATCTGATCGCCGTTGTTAGCGAGATACACATCTGTTGCCCGTTGTTAGCGAGATGCACATCTGTTGCCCGTTGTTAGCGAGATGCACATCTGATCGCCGTTGTTAGCGAGATGCACATCTGATCGCCGTTGTTAGCGAGATGCACATCTGATCGCCGTTGTTAGCGAGATGCACATCTGATCGCCGTTGTTAGCGAGATGCACATCTGATCGCCGTTGTTAGCGAGATGCACATCTGATCGCCGTTGTTAGCGAGATGCACATCTGATCGCCGTTGTTAGCGAGATGCACATCTGTTGCCCGTTGTTAGCGAGATGCACATCTGATCGCCGTTGTTAGCGAGATGCACATCTGATCGCCGTTGTTAGCGAGATGCACATCTGATCGCCGTTGTTAGCGAGATACACATCTGTTGCCCGTTGTTAGCGAGATGCACATCTGTTGCCCGTTGTTAGCGAGATGCACATCTGATCGCCGTTGTTAGCGAGATGCACATCTGATCGCCGTTGTTAGCGAGATACACATCTGATCGCCGTTGTCAGCGAGATGCACATCTGATCGCCGTTGTTAGCGAGATGCACATCTGTTGGCCGTTGTTAGCGAGATGCACATCTGATCGCCGTTGTTAGCGAGATGCACATCTGATCGCCGTTGTCAGCGAGATGCACATCTGATCGCCGTTGTTAGCGAGATGCACATCTGTTGGCCGTTGTCAGCGAGATGCACATCTGATCGCCGTTGTTAGCGAGATGCACATCTGATCGCCGTTGTCAGCGAGATGCACATCTGATCGCCGTTGTTAGCGAGATGCACATCTGATCGCCGTTGTCAGCGAGATGCACATCTGATCGCCGTTGTTAGCGAGATGCACATCTGTTCAAACTAAAGTCAGAATGACACCTCGAGAATGGAAGCGCCTTTATTAGTGTTTTCCAGGTCCAACGATGGTCCTAGCTTACTTGTTACTGTCCAGTCCGGCGGGACAAGAGCGAGCCAGCTAGATGTCTACTCCAGTGACAATGTAGCACCCAAGTTGACCAAGTGTATGACATCTGAATGTACTGGAGACCTGACCTTAACCGACCGTATCATGTGACACCTTCCTCGCCAGGACACACTGACCTTTGACCCTGACTTAGGACCACTCTCTACCGTATGACCGTGGAACACCGAGTTCCTAGTAAACACTTGTATAATTGGCACTGGTTGATTGGGGATTGGACAGACAATGACCCTTGCAGTACCAGCAGCCTGCCAAGCCAGAGGGCTGTCCTTAGATATCCCAGCAGGGTAGACCCAGGTCCCACACCAGAAAATTCAGGGCAATGCACCAGTAAATGTGTACTCTGGAGATTGTACTCAGATGTACATCTCGACGTGCACTCACTTTCAGAATTAAGACAGGAAACACTCAATAAAACGTTAGACACCCAATGGGGTTGGGGTCGGCCCCATTGTTCATCTAGCCTCTATACCACCAGCGGGGCAGCCTCTATTCCACCTTCACAAGGTCAGTGGAAATCAAATGTGTCGGTAAAGGGCCGTAGAGTTTAGCGTTCGATTATTTGGAAGTTAATTTAATTCATATACTAAGGTGAAAAATGTATATTCAAATGACAAATCGGCATTCTGAGCGCAGTCCTGTAGTTACAGTGATGGAGACTGACGGGGAAGGTGTGTGTGTGTGCGGGGGGGGGGGGGGGAGGGGTGACAGGGAAGGTGTGTGTGTGTGCGGGGGGGGGAGGGGTGACAGGGAAGGTGTATGTGTGTGTGGGGGGGAGGGGTGACAGGGAAGGTGTGTGTGTGTGTGGGGGGGGGGAGGGGTGACAGGGAAGGTGTATGTGTGTGTGGGGGGGGTGACAGGGAAGGTGTGTGTGTGGGGGGGGGGAGGGGTGACAGGGAAGGTGTATGTGTGTGGGGGGGGGGGGAGGGGTGACAGGGAAGGTGTGTGTGCGTGCGGGGGGGGGGAGGGGTGACAGGGAAGGTGTGTGTGTGTGTGCGGGGGGGGGGAGGGGTGACAGGGAAGGTGTGTGTGTGTGTGGGGGGGGGGAGGGGTGACAGGGAAGGTGTGTGTGTGTGGGGGGGGAGGGGTGACAGGGAAGGTGTGTGTGTGTGGGGGGGGGGAGGGGTGACAGGGAAGGTGTATGTGTGTGTGGGGGGGAGGGGTGACAGGGAAGGTGTGTGTGTGTGTGGGGGGGGGGAGGGGTGACAGGGAAGGTGTATGTGTGTGTGGGGGGGGGAGGGGTGACAGGGAAGGTGTATGTGTGTGTGGGGGGGGGGGTGACAGGGAAGGTGTGTGTGTGGGGGGGGGAGGGGTGACAGGGAAGGTGTATGTGTGTGTGGGGGGGGTGACAGGGAAGGTGTGTGTGGGGGGGGGGAGGGGTGACAGGGAAGGTGTGTGTGTGTGGGGGGGGGGGGGTGACAGGGAAGGTGTGTGTGTGGGGGGGGGGGGAGGGGTGACAGGGAAGGTGGGTGGGGGGCAATGACACGGAAGGTTTTTGGGGTGGTGACAGGGAAGGTGTATGTGTGTGTGGGGGGGGGGGTGACAGGGAAGGTGTGTGGGGGGGATGACAGGGGAGGAGTGTAGAGGGGATGTGACAGGGAACTCCACCCCTGCCAAATGCCTGTCCACCAAACAAGAAACCCGCTGACAGAAGTAAAACACATGTAGTTGGGACTCACCCTCCCCACAATGGGCACTACAATCCGTGCACTCAATACCCAACATAAACAACCGCTCATTAGTAGCCAGTCGCTCATAAAGAAATCGATACATCAACTCCCTTTGTTTAGGGGCGAGAAACGGTTCTCTCAGATCGCCCCCGCACCACCCCCTAGTACAACGGGTACACTCCCTCCACCCTGTGAGCAACATGACCCAGAAGCACCCGATACACCTCCCGACAACCAAAAGACACATACTAATGAGACCTACACAACGACTGATGAATGAGTACCGCACATTGGGGCTAGTGGCTGAGTAGACAACGGTCTAGACTTGTGGACCTAGGGACCAGGGTTCGGTCCCCGGCGCCGGCAGAAAACAAATGGGCAGAGATGGCTTCACCCTGATGCCTCTGTTACCTTGCGGTAAATAGGTACCTGGGAATTGGACAGCTGCTTCAGGCTGCTTCCGATAGAGGAAAACGATAAAGCAACTAGCTCGCAACGCCCGTAACAACGGTTCCTGAAAAATAACATAAAATTATCGACAGGAGACAACCCTGCCGAACCAAATGCCCAATGGCAAACGGAGTACTAAACAACCCATTCACACACACTTGACTACAACACCCCCTCATACAACATTCCCACCCAACCTATAAACTGAGAGGCAACTCCAAGACTCTCCAAAATCTACAAGACAAGAGTCAATGGCCACACGGTCGAAGGCCTTTGACCAGTCCAGATTGTTTAAGGCTGCTGGACCCCCAGACTCCGACATATAGACAATCAGATCCCAGACCAGGTTCCTGTAATGGACCAACGATCTACCCGGCACCCCAGAAAACTGTTCCTGATAAACCAGGCAGCTCACCCCATTGTTGTTTCGCGACAGCCACTGCCGCATCCACCACACCTTGTTCATCCTCCATCTGCTACACAGAGTCCTAACAATCATGGAATCGCATCTGTGCAGCTTTCCTCCGCCGTGTCTTCTGTCACAATCGGAGACAGAAGCATCGGATCCTGAACGTGTCGTGGGGGACGCACACCCTCCATAGGAGAGGCAGCCGGCGACGCCACCCGAGAAGAGGGAGAAACTGCCACCTCTAGAGGCCCCACAGGTGGAGCAGACTGATCAGACACTCACTCCACAGCAGCAGGGGACACCCTGAGAGTAGCTTCCATCACCACCATGGCAAGCAGCACACTGTGTACCTCCACTTGTACATTAGTCTGGACACAGCCTTTCAGGCGCAACATGCAGCCACAAATACCAGCTATTCGTCGACCTCCGGTAACGTAGGGTGCATCACTGGCCTCCTCGTTTGCACTCGGGACATGCACTCACTCAGGTCCCTCTTCTGGAAGGCTGGGAGGCTGAATAACACCCTCAGTCAGACCCACTAGAGCGTCCTGGGTCTTGAGAGGTGAAAAATCACCTTCCCGAAAGATATTTACCCGGTCAGTCGCACCAACTGAGCACGCCGCCCCCAGATGTCCCAGCAACCCACACCAAAAACATGTACATGACTGACCTGAATACAGAGTGTAGGGTATACCCCATCAGGGATACTGAAGACGGAACATTCCGTTACAGGGACATCGTCAAAGTCCTGGTGCCGGTATGCAACCACTTACAATAAGCTGCTGAGACCTTGTTCCAACTTATGCTGAGCACTTTCCCAAACAGCCGGGCAAACAAGCCCGGCTGTTTGGTCAACCTAAGTTGTTTTCACACTTAGGTTGACAACCCGTTCTGTGTCCGCTCCGTCAGGCACAGGAAATAAGTGTCCCACATATCTGCTTTCGAACTCCTGAAACGCACCTTGCTGCAGAAATTTGACAACCACACGTCGGTCTCGAATGAACTGGATGCCCATCACATCCGCCAATTTGACACGGAGCACCTACACTAACGCCACACCAACTGACGTATGATCCACCAGCGAGGAAAACTTCAGGCCAGCCTCACTTCAGTTAGCTTCACCAGAGGAACGGTGGACCCATCCTCGATCAATCACACCCCGCACCAGCAGGGCCCCAAGCAGGTCACGGAACACCCACACGACCGTCAGCTCCAAGCCTTGTGTGCCAACTGGGGAGCAATATGAGAGCACACCTGCCCTCTCTGACGCCAGGCCGTCGAATTAGCTTATATATTGGTCTCCAACACCCACCCCACAAGATCGAAGCAGTCTGTGAAGGATTTGTATAAATGCAGTCAGGTTGATAATGAGCTTGGAAGCAGTTCCTGGATACAGACAAATTTACTACAACAAATTATGTTGTTGTTGTATGTTGCTTGTGGTGAAAAAGTGAAACCTTTTACAGCCTTTAATTACAATAAGCTTTCATTCCTATCCTCTGTCTCCTGGAGGACCACAACCGTGACACTGTCACTATCGGCGTCCTGAGTGCTGGTATGGCTGCCTGTTGCTGGAGCCTGGCGAATTTATGGTGATTTTTTTACCCACACTTTCTTGCTGTTTGTTGTTGACTTCTCTGCTGTTCTCTTGGTATCTGATTAAGAGCTCTTGACCGCTCTATAACATTCTCCAGTCAGAGAACATCCATACTCGGCTTCTTGCTGCACACAGCTGAGCTGGCGTTCTGAACACCTCCAGAGTGACAACGGCGGACTATTTTCTCACCCAGCTGAATGTTGCTTCTACAGAAATTAGAGAGGTGAGGTTTTCCGCAGAAGTGACATGGTGGATCGTTCTGACAGCTCCAAGATTTATGTCCCCATCTGTTTATGGCCCCCATTTCAGGCAAATTATGAGCCCTTCCACATTGTCAAATGCCTGTAGCCAGCCCCAGTGATGAACACTTTCTCGGGAACTTCACTTCTCATTATAGCCACCACCGGATTCCTGGCTTAACTTTAACAAGGTGACACTTGGCCCACATAAATCGTTAGTCGTCGAGGATGAATTCAGTGTCAAAAATATGAGAGTATTTATAAATAATCACCTTCGTTAGTGTCTCATTGTCATGTGGTTTCTCGTTCCCTCCCTAACAGTTTCACGATATCCTTGCTGGCTCAGGAGGACAACAGCCTCCACAGAACCTGCGTTAAGTAAGGTCTGGTCACACCTTCCTACAGTAGTGGCTAGAACTTGTGATGCTCTCTTCCTAGGTTTGAGAGAGAGAAACTGACACTAAGCCCATGCACTCAACCCAGAGTCTCGAACCCTGGAATTCCTATTTATTAAGAAATATGAGACACCAGTAGCACGAATTGTATAGAGAAAAAGATTTGATTTAGTTGATTACCAGAAGCACTGAAATCTGTACATACAGCTCACAAAACACAAAGAAATTTGTGTTTTGCGACATGACCTTCTAGTATCTTCCATGTATGTAGTATGTGGGATCTCTCTCGTGTCCTTTCGTGAGTCCTTTTACTACTATGTAAAATGGTACACAAAGAAGGTATATAGACTGGTATCACAAACATTACACAAAATTAAAGTTTTTAAAAGAATGATTATTATATTCCATTGTTTTATGGAAAACAACCAACTTCACAACCCAAGTCAACATTGATTTAGAACAGAAATATTCTGCCGTTCACAATTACTCTACCACTTTGACAAAATCACGAAACAATTAGAAGAAAAAAATGCCTTTACAAAGGCACTAAGTAAATATGACCATGGAATATTAGCCCGCGAAATGAGATAAATATAGATAAAAACCAGATAAAGTAGCGCTATAGACAATTAAGTGAAAATCTACGCACCGTAATGCATAGTCCTTTCAACGCTGCTTTTTAATCATTCTCGGTTCAGATATAAATATAAAGCAATAGCTTCTTGTCATCTTCTGCAGACGATACAAAAAACAGTATGACAATTACTTATGTTGAAGATATTAAAGAACTGTAACATGTGTTACCAAGGTCTTCAACATGGCAACCAAACATAATATAATGTTTACCGCGATAAAGTCCAGATGGCAAAAATTATAAATTCAAACGTAATACAGGGTACAAGAGACAATCAGATCTCCTTGGAGGAGGTGGAGTAAAACAACATGTAAGGGATCTGATAGTAATGCCAAACAGCCTAACGTTCAGGGAACAAAGCAAATTTAGCACTAGCCAGGAATATGTTAAGGTGGATTATCAGAACTGTCAAATCCAGGAATTTCACAACAGTCTTCCTATTTTTCAAATCATTTGTGACTTCCCGCCTTGAATAGTGCTCCATACACATTTTCCTTCTTTTAAAGGCGTGAGAGATTTCTGAAAAAAAGGAATATAGAGAACGTATATAGCATGCATGGACACGATATAATACCAAAATTATGAGGAGTTCCACAAGCTGTCAAAATGTTCTCTCACGAAAGAACACGGGAAAGATCCCACATACTACATAAATGGAAGATACTGGAAGGTCATGTCGCGAATTTGTTCAATAAAAAATAAGATACTTGATTCACTACTCCGCTGTCACCTACAAAGAATACATTGATAACATGAAATATTGTGGCCTGTAAATGTATTGTAAATCCTGTAGATTGTGGGTAGTCCCGGCGTAGCCTTTAGACAGTGGGAGACGTCCTGCTGCCACCCTCTTGTGTGTGTATATCCTGTAGGTAGGAACCGTCCAGCCCCAGCCCTCAGATGGCACCGTCCCGCCCCAGCCCTCAGATGGCACCGTCCAGCCCCAGCCCTCAGATGGCACCGTCCAGCCCCAGCCCTCAGATGGCACCGTCCACCCCCAGCCCTCAGATGGCACCGTCCAGCCCCAGCCCTCAGATGGCACCGTCCAGCCCCAGCCCTCAGATGGCACCGTCCAGCCCCAGCCCTCAGATGGCACCGTCCAGCCCCAGCCCTCAGATGGCACCGTAAAGCCCCAGCCCTCAGATGGCAACGTCCAGCCCCAGCCCTCAGATGGCACCGTCCAGCCCCAGCCCTCAGATGGCAACGTCCAGCCCCACCCCTCAGATGGCACCGTCCACCCCCAGCCCTCAGATGGCACCGTCCCGCCCCAGCCCTCAGATGGCACCGTCCAGCCCCAGCCCTCAGATGGCACCGTCCAGCCCCAGCCCTCAGATGGCACCGTCCCGCCCCAGCCCTCAGATGGCACCGTCCAGCCCCAGCCCTCAGATGGCACCGTCCAGCCCCAGCCCTCAGATGGCACCGTCCACCCCCAGCCCTCAGATGGCACCGTCCACCCCCAGCCCTCAGATGGCACCGTCCAGCCCCAGCTCTCAGATGGCACCGTCCAGCTCCAGCCCTCAGATGGCACCGTCCAGCCCCAGCCCTCAGATGGCACCGTCCAGCCCCAGCCCTCAGATAGCACCGTCCAGCTCCAGCCCTCAGATGGCACCGTCCAGCCCCAGCCTTCAGATGGCACCGTCCAGCCCCACCCCTCAGATGGCACCGTCCAGCCCCAGCCCTCAGATAGCACCGTCCAGCTCCAGCCCTCAGATGGCACCGTCCAGCCCCACCCCTCAGATGGCACCGTCCAGCCCCAGCCCTCAGATGGCACCGTCCAGCCCCAGCACTCAGATGGCACCATCCAGGCCCAGCCCCCAGATGGCACCGTCCAGCCCCAGGCCTCAGATGGCACTGTCCAGCCCCAGCCCTCAGATGACACCGCCCAGCCCCACCCCTCAGATGGCACCGCCCAGCCCCAGCCCTCAGATGGCACCGTCCAGCCCCAGCCCTCAGATGGCACCGTCCAGCCCCAGCCCTCAGATGGCACCGTCCAGCCCCACACCTCAGATGGCACCGCCCAGCCCCAGCCCTCAGATGGCACCGTCCAGCCCCAGCTCTCAGATGGCACCATCCAGCTCCAGCCCTCATGCAGATGGCACCGTCCAGCCCCAGCCCTCAGATGGCACCATCCAGCCCCAGCCCTCAGATGGCACCGTCCACCCCCAGCCCTCAGATGGCACCGTCCACGCCCAGCCCTCAGATGGCACCGTCCACCCCCAGCCCTCAGATGGCACCGTCCACCCCCAGCCCTCAGATGGCACCGTCCAGCCCCAGCCCTGAAATGGCACTGTCCACCTCCAGCCCTCAGATGGCACCGTCCAGCCCCAGCCCTCAGATGGCACCGTCCAGCCCCAGCCCTCAGATGGCACCGTCCAGCCCCACCCCTCAGATGGCACCGCCCAGCCCCAGCCCTCAGATGGCACCGCCCAGCCCAGCCCTCAGATGGCACCGTCCAGCCCCAGCCCTCAGATGGCACCGTCCAGCCCCAGCCCTCAGATGGCACCGCCCAGCCCCACCCCTCAGATGGCACCGCCCAGCCCCAGCCCTCAGATGGCACCGTCCAGCCCCAGCCCTCAGATGGCACCGTCCAGCCCCAGCCCTCAGATGGCACCGTCCAGCCCCACCCCTCAGATGGCACCGTCCAGCCCCACCCCTCAGATGGCACCGCCCAGCCCCAGCCCTCAGATGGCACCGTCCTGCCCCAACCCTCAGATGACACTGTCTACCTCCAGCCCTCAGATGGCACAGTTCAGCCCCAGCCCTCAGGTGGCACCGTCTACCTCCAGCCCGCAGATGGCACCGTCCACCCCTAGCCCTCAGATGGCACAGTTCAGCCCCAGCCCTCAGGTGGCACCGTCTACCTCCAGCCCTCAGATGGCACCGTCCACCCCCAGCCCTCAGATGGCACCGTCCAGCCCCAGCCCTCAGATGGCACCGCCCAGCCCTCAGATGGCACCGTCCAGCCCCACCCCTCAGATGGCACCGCCCAGCCCTCAGATGGCACCGCCTTCCTCCAATCCCCAAAATTGCAGATTTTGTACTCCGCCTGAGTAAGAAAGAAACATGAAACAAGTAACACAGTCTAGTGGGGTAGCCAGAGGCTTAGGGCCCGCGCTGGGATACACCTTTGCACAAAAAACAGAATCAACAGTGACATGAGAGCGGTCGCCGCTTGGTACTAAACTGGTGACCACCAATCATAGAGAAGCAAGCAAAAATGGTTCACCTGTTCAGACTAATCCGTAGCCTGCGGCTGGAAGAGACACCATGGGTCACCCAGCACTGTGAGAACGTCCCCGCCGGGGCCTCCACCTGCAGTAGTCGTGTGCGCCTCAGGTCTTAGGTCAGGGCGTCAGCTTTACGTCACGGAGCAGCCCGGTAGCATCAAGTGTACTCCCGCCACTTGCTCTAATTAAACTGAATCCGTGGAACCAGTTTGTGTTAATTATTGTCGAGGTGTGAATTTCATTGACTAGTGAGACAGGTATTAAAGTCGTCTAAAGACTGTGAGGGAAGAAAGTGATTACCATGGAAAAGTACCAGACAAGCTGTGTGGGTGTAGTGTGGTAAAGTACCAGACAAGCTGTGTGGGTGTAGTGTGGTAAAGTACCAGACAAGCTGTGTGGGTGTAGTGTGGTAAAGTACCAGACAAGCTGTGTGGGTGTAGTGTGGTAAAGTACCAGACAAGCTGTGTGGGTGTAGTGTGGTAAAGTACCAGACAAGATGTGTGGGTGTAGTGTGGTAAAGTACCAGACAAGCTGTGTGGGTGTAGTGTGGTAAAGTACCAGACAAGCTGTGTGGGTGTAGTGTGGTAAAGTACCAGACAAGATGTGTGGGTGTAGTGTGGTAAAGTACCAGACAAGATGTGTGGGTGTAGCGTCACCAATTTTCCCCATAAGCTTGTATATGAATCGTGAAAGCTTGGACCGCCTGCCTCCAGTCCCTATATTAAACCACGATCATGTGCTTTTAGCACCACTGAGGCCACATTCTCGGCAGGCGACCTAGCACATTACCGCAGGGCGCGTGAAGCTGTCCTCCTGGACCACACCTCCTATGGTGACTGCAGGAGGAACTCCGTGGATGATGATCGAGTGTGTGATCGACCATTACCAAGTGATGAACAGTATTCTGTGCTGACCATCCTGGTTTCACGTTTAATTGTCTCTCGCGAGTTGTCTCTCTCTCTCTCTTGGAGATTACCCGGTAGTATTCGCCCGGTGAACACCAGCAGCAGCAGGTGGGGGCGAGTAGATCAATTCTCGACTCGCTTGATTGGTGGCTTGGCTCACACCTGCTTCAACGCTGCACGATAAAACAAGGAATGAGACAATAATTGCATACACCACTCATATAGTTATAACGCTCTTGACCGTATGTCAACATAATCGTCGATTGTCTTGTATTAATTGTATTAAGATTGCCGTGTATTAATGGATTTTGCCTACCGTATGTGACCCCGAGCGTCTGATCGAGCCCGAGCTCCATTTCTCCCTGGTAATGGCTGCAGTGGTAAGGAATATTGAGTAATGGGGTGGTCGTTACAATGTTAAGCGAAGCTGTTTCTTCGGCAGCCATACATCGTTCGTGGGACTATCGCGTGTCCCTTGCTTCTGATCAGATTGGTATGACTGGTTATACCAGATGGTTATCGTAAAGTTATCATGAGATGATTTCGGGGCTTAGCGTCCCCGCGGCCCGGTCCTCCACCAGGCCTCCTTTTGGTTACACATCCCCAGGAAGCATTCCGAGTGATGTCCACTGAGCCGTCAGGCCCCCTTATCCCTAAATGGTTAACAAGTTTGTTGTATAAACGTGTTAACCATTCAAAACAAATCAGCGGTGCCTTCTCATATAGGAGATATTGAGACTCTCTGTTTCATATCCAGAAATAATGGTAATACTGTAAACTAAAAATATTAATGACGACGCTCACTGTTCGCCATACTTGAGATCTGTGCAGAGGAGCACACGACCCTCTATACTCAGTCATGACGGAGGTCATCATCTGTGAGGCCCTTAGCTCGAAGAGCTGACCTTAGTGAGTGTTCAGCAGCACTGGCAACATGCTAAAGTAACTGCAGGTACTGGTGCTCCCGCCACCGCCCGTAGTGACATTGCTGCCGAATGGTACTCTGAACGTGGTACAACCCGACAATGATCCTACTTTTCAAATTTCTTGTGTTGTAGCTGCTTGAGTACTGCTCGATACTGTCGTCCCCTTCAGAGCAGGAGAGATTGCTGAAATTGAGGGAATACGGTGAACATATATGGCTGGTATACTCATGAGAGAGCACCTGAATTATTGGGATCGTCACAAAGCTCCCAAAATGTACCGTCTGTAAAGAAGGAAGCTGTGCCACATAATATATGTATAGAAGATATAGGAAAATCAAGACACTAATTGTTCAGTAAAATAGCAGTATGATGGAACAAACGGTATGGTAGAAAATGAATAATAGAACCAGCAAAGAGTAGAAGTGTTATAGTCACAATGATAGAACACTGAATGAACATCAGAGGTTCATGGAGGTTCAATATTCTACTATCAAACATAAAATATATTGCAGATACAAAAGAGAATACAAAGTGATGTGTTTAAGAAAGAAGTAAACAAGTCCCTGTGAAGTGCCGGACCAACTGGGTTGTATTGGACCTTGTGCTTGCATACCACTCCAAGCAACAGTCTTTTGGACAATGTTATCACAAGTCAAGCCGGGCCTGGGGGAGTACAGGGGCTCCCACAACCATTTACAGCTACACTTCAGCTAAGACAACAACAGAGTACACAATACTCGCCTCAAATCCTCACTCCGTTTCCACAAAAAAACTAAATGTAAAAAGCACGAAGGCTTGCAACAAGATTCGTGCCAAGTTAAATAAATACGCAGCAGGTACGAGAAGATAAGTATGCAGGGCTTACCGTGCTAGACACATCACCTCCGTCGTCACTATGGGGCCTGATGGCTGGGTGGACAGCGCTCGGAATTCGTAGTCCTAAGGTTTGATTCCCGGCGGAGGCAGAAACAAATGGGCAGAGTTTCTTTCACACTCATGCACCTGTTCACCTAGCAGGAAATAGGTACCTGGGAGTTAACAGCTGCTACGGGATGCTTCCTGGAGATGTGTAACAAAAGGCCTAGTCGAGGACCGGGCCGCGGGGACGTAAAGCCCCGAAATCATCTCAAGATAACCTCATGATAACTATAAAAAGAACGGACACACAATGGATCCCTCCTGTGGGAAATATACCAGTGATTAATTTATTTATTTATCGATAAATTTTAATATACTATTTTAATTTGATTTATTACTTATTTATAGCTTCGGAGTGGACTGTATGTTTAATTTAAATATCACCAATAAAATTCCTTTCACACAAATTGGGTGAGTTGTAATTAATAAGTTTGGTTATACCATAATTAAACGGTTAGCATTATTAATTTCACTAATCCATAATTAAATAATTAGTATATTTTGTTAATATGAATGAATTATAGCCTTCTTATCTGACTAGCAGGCTTCGACAGTCATCATGGAACCGGTGATATATATATATATATATATATATATATATATATATATATATATATATATATATATATATATATATATATATATATATATATATATGTCGTACCTAATAGCCAGAACGCGCTTTTCATCCTACTATTCAAGGCCCGATTTGCCTAATAAGCCAAGTTTTCCTGAATTAATATATTTTCTCTAATTTTTTTCTTATGAAATGATAAAGCTACCCATTTCATTATGTATGAGGTCAATTTTTTTTATTGGAGTTAAAATTAACATAGATATATGACCGAACCTAACCATCCCTACCTAACCTAACCTAACCTATCTTTATAGGTTAGGTTAGGTTAGGTAGCCGAAAAAGTTAGGTTAGGTTAGGTTAGGTAGGTTAGGTAGCCGAAAAAGCATTAATTCATGAAAACTTGGCTTATTAGGCAAATCTGGCCTTGCATAGTAGGCTGAGAAGTGCGTTCTGGCTACTAGGTACGACATATATATATATATATATATATATATATATATATATATATATATATATATATATATATATATATATATATATATATATATATATATATATATATATATATATATTGCAGGGAAATTCCTACACGGGCACTAAGCCTCTTGCTGGCCAGTAAGTGTTGCTTGTTTCTGTTTTACTTAGGCGGAGTATGAGTATTTATGACTCGTATGGTCGCTTCAGTAAGATTTTGTCCCATGTCTTTAACAACTTTTTCTGCTCTGTTGAATCTAAGTTGAAATCTTAATGGGTTTGTAACTGTGCACTGTGTTAGATAATGTTCCAGTGGTCTGTCGAGCATTTCTCCACAGTGCTGACATTTCCTCTCCAACACGTGAGTGGGAACCGATGAAGAACACGTGAGTGGGAACCGGTTTAGATCATGTGAGTAGGCCCGGCTGTAATGACGTCGTGTCTCTAGTGTCGTCGCCTCAACATTAATGACAATGTTTCACTAACAGTGTTGTCTCGACTCCAGCCTGCTGAGATAATACAATGTAGCTATGTACAAACTACACTCTTTATTATTATTATTATTATATCTATGACATAATTTAAGACGGTTTACTCGAGGGCTGGGAGTCATGCCATATAACCATCCAAACCTATATCATCTTACAGTGGCTAACTAAGTACTAGGTTACGACGGAAAACTAAGCACTTCCCTGTTGTTGCTGTAGTCGAATACGTCCGTCAACTTAGGCATTTATTAGTTCCAAGACCTACGATGTGCTTCAAGTGAGGCAGACAAAATTTACA